CCCCCGAGGGTGACCTGTTGAAGATCCGCGGCGAGAGCAGGGGGACGAGGGGAGCCGCTTCCTCGGGGAGCCGCGGAAAGGGACAAGGGACAGCGGCGGCAGCATCCCGGGGGAGAGGGTGGGAACCCCCGGCCTACAATAGCCCTTTATTGCCGATTTCTGCCCTAAAGTCGTAAGGGCCCGATTCCAATTGCAATGGCACTGTTTGCAGGGCCGGTTACTACTGTGCATGACAGGGAGGGAACCGAGCCCAAAATAAACTCCGCTGACAGTCCCAACGCACGATGGATGGAAAGGGAACTACAGAGTAAGAAACTGCGTGTTTGTTGGGGGGATCAGAGAGTTTCACCCACTCATTTGTCAAATACAACTCCAAAATAATTAACTTGAATTACTATTTCTAACCTACTTCCTCAATTTGTTTGTTACTAACTTTCTAGGATTCGGTTGCTATTACAGAGGCTGGTTGTATAGCAGCAAATCTGTAAACATGCCCTTCTGACTGAAACCGACCCTGTGTGGCTCCGGGGCCGAGGGGACAAGGGCTCCTTTGGCTCTTGGAAGAGCTATTTCCTACAGGGCAGCTGCCAAATGGTTAAACTGGTATTAGTGGCTCACCACAATTGTTGGTTGGCTCGGAAAAAAAAAGCTGTTATTTTAAGGCTGGAGCGGTAAGACTCAGAAACCACCGTATACTGTTATGGGCTGGGCGTAACTGCCACCCTTCTTTTATGATAGCCAGAAGAAACAGTTGCCCTCTTTAAGGAATAGATAGTGAAAAGAAGCCTCCACCCTGGGCTGAGGCGCTGACAGGCAGCGGGGTTCACCAGATACTGCCCTGTGGAAGCGCTTATGGCTGTAATAACATATGGTCGCAGGTTGCCTTTGCCGGAAGAGATCAAAACAAAACGACTGACGAGACATTGAGGAATGCCAACCTCCTGCTGACAGATCCACTGGGAAGCATGCAGAATTTCACCCAGGATTTTAGCCAAAGTCCTGCCTGGATGTCTCCCTGTGGTTACACCTTTTCAGCTGATCTAGCGAGTGTCCAAATCCAATTGTCATCCATACGCAGAAGCGCTGAGGCTTGCAGAGACCTTACACCCGCAGCCTTGAGCTTTCCAAGACATATATGGTAAAACTAGTCTTACTAACCTCTCGCCCTATTTCTGTATTTTAAAACCAAAAGCATAAAACAAGGGGTTCATTCACAAACATTAATGAGGCTACCTGAGGGACCGTATTCTGTAGCATCATCATAAAATAAGACAAGCAATACTACTGCAGGAAAATCTCTTTGTAGCTGACAAACATCCCTCTCACCTATTTTTAGGGATACTTTAAAGTGTTTCAAACTAGTTGAATAATTAAGGCTTTTTTTTTCTTGGCTCTGGAGTTGCACAATTTTTTGATCTGAAGCCCTTTCTTCCTTGAACCACAATCTCCTCCTACAGAGCACACCAAGCTGGGAGCGTTACAAAGGCGAGGGGTAGCAGCCCCAATGGACAGGCTTGCTTAGGACGGGCACCTGGCATCAAATGCGCAGTCCTGCTAGTTGTCTCCGGAGCATCCCTCCCATTTCCCATAGGCCAAGGGAAACATTCCCTAAGAC